TCTGACTGAACTTATGCTTCATTTCAAACAGTGGACATCTGCAACATATCTGTTCTTCCAGCAGTGAATTGTGGTAGGGTGCAGTGGTGCGGCCTCTCTGTGTAGGAGGAGATGGTATAGAACACGATTAAGTGAGGGAATTGGTGGGTTGTGCTAATTGTTGTCTCAAATGTGGTCTGATAAAAAGTAAGTTTCATTTTCAAATTAAGTCCTAAATTGCTGTTTTCCAAGCTACTGTAGCTGCAATCTTGTTGCTATGGTAATGGATTGCGTCTTACTATTAGACACACCTCCATTCTCTGTTTAAAAAAGAATGTTAAGCAGTAAATAGGAACTAACACTGGCCAGAAGAGGGCTTTAAATACAGTCCTTATCTAGACTTATGTTGTGTTCACATCAAACGTGATGCGAAAAATTCACATAGGTTTACTCACATGGGTTTGAATGCTGAAATATTTTGTGTTGACTTGTTTCATATGCGCAAATAACTCATGTCATATGCGTGTGAAATCGCTGAATCAATTATAGAATGATCTGCCAAAAAAAAAAATCTATGCCAGTTTAAGTTTACGCTATATTTGGAATATTTTCACCGTTTTACCTTGCTCTTAGTCTTCAGATAACTGAAACTGTTATATCACAGCCACTAGACTCCACTGGCAAAAACTTCAATTTCACATAGCTGAACACTTAGGGCCGAATTCAGAAAAGGATTGCGTGACTTTTGCAGCCGCTAAACCAGTAAAAATGGAGCAAACAGATACCGTCTAATTCACAAAGCACGCGCAGAGGGTGAAATGCTCCACTAACTGCGCTGCCAAGCAGATTGTGTCTCGGTGCTCCGGTGTTATTTGCACGTATTTAAATGAGGTAATATGCATATATTTGGCACAAAAATTGCCCCTTTCTATGCAAATGAGCCTCATTGATAAACAACGTTTAATTCACTAACACCAGCGCTAATAGCCACACGCAGTTTGAGTGAAGTAAATAACGTCTTAAGAAAGCTGGTGCAAACTGGGCGCTCCTCTGTGGAAGCCTCTCGCCCAGACTTTCCAGTGATCGTGGCAGCAGTGATCGTCTGTTAAATCAGTCTGTAAATAATATTTTGACATTATTATTATAATCATTATTACTTTAATGGCATCCGAAAATACTGATGCGTTGAACAGGTGACAGTCTGCGGTCGTTCTCAAAACGCACTTCTGTCACGCACTTCAAAAGCAACTTTCAATAATTTATTTTACGAAACGGGGGAAACAAACGTGAACAAAAGCGGTTCCATAATTCATATTAAATTCAAAAGATAACGAAAAAACAGCTACAAGTGAGAGGGAATAGTGATAAAGTGGTCAAACCTGGTCAAATCCACAGTCTCAACCCATCCGACACTGTTAGACTGACTCACCAGCAGACATCACTACATGAGTATTCAGTACTTTGCCAAACACTTACCATGCTATGCCATGTGGCTAATTGCAATCAGGGGCAAATCAGGGGCAAACTGCACTCAGCTGCCAAACTTTGTGGGCGTGTTTGCGCTGGTATATCATTAGCGCAATATCCTTTGTGAATAGGACGTTAAGCCGGAGCAAACTGCGGGTACAAGTGAAGTGCAATTCAAGGTGCTATCAGCGGCCGCAGTTCATTCTTTGTGAATTAGGCCCTTAGTTTCTTGTCAACCGCTGCCCCAATAGGTAAAGCAGAGCACATATTCAAATACAGCATACACTTACACTTATTTTCATTTTTATAGGTGGTCACAATACGTTTTTGCTGTGGCTCCATCTACAGCAGTACATTGTTTAGCTTCTGGGCTGGTTTATCAAACATAATAACAAAGCAACAAAGCACACAAAATAAGCACAGCACAAACGTCAAACATGTTGGACCACTGTGTGTAAATATCTTCAAACTTTACAGTTACAGCTGAAAATGATAACAGGAATCAACTAGTTTTCCAATTTCAAATATCTCCACATTTGTAGTCAACTGCCAGTGTTCCACCTGGATCTGACTGTTGTTGTTAGAGTGACGTCTCAGTAGTTGTATAGATGCCTTTTTCACAACTCTTTCGCTGTGAGGGTCCTAAGGACAGAAGGATGTCGTATGCTGTAAAGCCCTCTGAGGCAAATTGTGATTTGTGATATTGGGCTTTATAAATAAAATTGAACTGAAAATTGAATTGAACTCTGTCTCACAGCAGTCTTCTTGGAAAAACTGAAAATATGCATTACAGCTGCAGTATCACTGTAGTTTAAGAAAACTGGTGACATCACTTACAGTGTTGTATAAAAAAGCAGTGTGTATATGGACTTCTACCCTATTTATTGAGACTGTTATTCTCTGGTTAGTGAATGTGTGTAATTTGAAAAGGGGCTGTGATTTGGTAACAGACATTATGTATAGTTCAAATGATTAGATGCTTCTTTTCGAGCTGTAGAACAGACAAAGTCCAACTAAGGTGAATAGAAAGTATAAATTCTCCACTTAGGCCTACTGAAACTGCCAGGATTGTCAAACTCATCAAACGGTGCCGTGGCATTGTTCCGACCTCTCATTGTTCCGACGTCACGTTGTTCCGATATGTGATTATACTAGGCTATACTGTATTTGTGTACCATAGAGGATCAGCAACGCAACAAAAGTAGGCTACTGGTCGAGATACAAGTGTCACAGAGAGGAGAGAATGAAACACCATAACCTTCTGTTATTAACTCTGGGGTCGGGGTTGTGTGGGGAGCTTTCCGCGGTGCTGAACGGCTCCCGGCAGGCGTATTTCTGCCTTGATGGTGCGCCGCGACCTTCTCTGGGTCAGCTGGGAAAGGCTTGAGGCGAAGCAGGCTCACGGCTTATGTGTTTGCCACTTTCTTTTTCATTTTAACCCACACCATGATCTTTTCCTAACCCTAACCAAGTGGTTTTTGTGCCTAAACCTAACCAGACCTTAACCACAGGACATCATGATGATTTCGGAACAATGGGTTTAATATGGTCGGAACAATGGGATGTCGGACCAATGGGATGTCGGACCAGTGCAATGGGCAGACCCCCATCAAATTGCAAAATCATTTTTCTCTCAGAACATATTAAATCTGTCATCGATTACAGTTTAACAAGCCTTGGTGTTAAAGTATTTTATTTTTGTCAGGTTGTATAACAGCATGTACATTACCATGAGGCCAGATACCAACATCCTCTTATATTTAAAGGCTTTTAGTGATATTGCACCACTGGTGAAACTATGGCATGTTCTGATGAGCAAGCATCTAAATTTGTTATGTTTCATTACTTGCATCTGTGTTATTTTGTCATCTGTCTGTAGCATCACATCTGGCCCATTTACCCAGTTTACTTTTATACAATCATATACTTAGCTGAGGTAGAGAAGTGAAGGTGATGCTGTGGTCTGAGTCATCTCATGTGTCAGCTGAGCTTGCATACTGCCATCACCATTTGGGTGGCCCACTTAAGCTGTCAAACTCATTTCCTTGTTCTGTGCTGCTCATGTTTATGCAACTCTCAGCTCACCACCACCACTCTGGCATCCATCTGTTTCTTGTGGCAGAATACATTGCCTTATATCCGCTTTAAATGATAGTGGCAGGAAAAAAAGGCTAGAGGCTAAAATAGGAACAAAGTTATTCTGAGAAAAGAAGCAAAAAACTTACAAATGGCACCATAAAACTGAAAATTTGGGTAAAACACATTTAAGAGAGGATTAAAGAATATTTAGGGTTCAAGCCCCGAAGGGGCAGATCCCTACTGAGTTTGTGCCAGTTTATTATTATTATTATTATTATTATTAGGGTTCAAGCACCAAAGGGTAAAACCCTACTGAGTTTGTGTCAGTTTATTAGGATTTAAGCCCCAAAGGGCCATCAATGCCATCTTACTGCAATGAACAAAGAGACACTAGGAAAAGTGCCCGGAGCCTCAGGGCAGGACCCATCCACTTATTTGTGGTGAATCTGAAAGTTTACTTTGTATATTTATTTAGACAATGAAATATTTTTTCAGGGCAGTATGTTTGACAGACACAAAGATCAAACATGCTGTAGAGAGTGGAAAGCCATGTGTTGGAGCGAAAAGGCCCTGTGTGCCAACAGAAAATCTTTCTCATTTTGATTTAACAACTGGATATCCCCCATCGTACCTTACGATCTGTTGGAAGGTGTTTTTCTGTTGGAACTTGCACAGTGTCTGGGCATTTTAATATCCAAAAAATATCCCTCTTTGGACACTTTAAATAAGGTGATTCCCTACAAAGGTGTAGATAAAGGAAAGAATGTTTGCATATAGTGCCACAAACATTTCTGAGGAAAAACAGAATAATGGCAGTGTAGCTGAAAATTTGTCTCTCTCAAGATTGCTGCCTTTCATGATTGTGTTACGCCCCTGAAAAAGGGAAATAAAGAATCATGACAGTGAAAGCAATGTTTCCTCAGCAGATCTTTACTCTAATAAATACTTCATACTTATCAGCGGAGAGGGAACAGGACATGAGGACAGAGGACAAGAGGACAACAGGACTGACTCACAGTGACTGATAAACTAAACTTCAGTCAGTATTGTCATGTCAGGAATATTATTTATATAGTAGCGTTGCTGTTGTAAAAATGACTGTTGCTGCTCTGGAAACATTTAGTTATATTCAAAATATTCAGTTATCCTGTTCTGAATATATTCTTTTTAGATTAATATATTTTCTAAAAAGCAATTCTTTAGGAATGAAAAGGAACCGATAAGAAGCATCCTATTGATAAAAGCAGTAGTATCGATAACATCTTAAAGATAGCCATCCCTAATTGACTGATTTCATTTGGTGCAATATCAGTTTAAGATACTTAATTTTCCTTTGTCTTTTAGAGTACATCATAGCAGGGCCCTGGTGCCCAACACCTCTCCACTATAGCCAGATTCCAGGATGTAGGACACTCCACAAAAAGGACCCTCCACAAACTGTCTCAGCGGGCACACAGTCTGTAGCATCTCAGAAGATGGTAGTGATCAGCACACAGCTGTACAGGGCTACTCTGACGGAGCAACCCAAGAAGCAAAGGTATGTAACACAGACATTATATGTGTTTGCTGTCATCAACACCTATAAAGGACATAGGTTTCAAACCAAGTACGAGACCTTGAGTTGAGTTGGAGGAGAAAGAGAGAGAAACCTAAACCTTTGCCAGAGCAAACTATTACTCAGCATTAATAGAAGAAAACAAGAACAACCCCAGATTTCTTTTCAGCACTGTAGCCAGGCTGACTGAGAGTCAAAGCTCTATTGAGCCTTGTATTCCTTTAGCCCTTAGCAGTAATGATTTTATGAGCTTTTTTAATGACAAAATTCTAACTATTAGAGGCAAAATTCATGACCTCCTGCCCTCGGATGGTAGGCCTACCTATCTAACCTCAAACACAGCTGTAGAATCTAATATATATTTAGATTGCTTCTCCCCAATTTCTCTTCAAGAATTGACCGCAGTGATTTCTTCATCTAAATCATCAACGTGTCTCTTAGACCCCATCCCAACTAGGCTACTTAAGGAGGTCTTTCCTTTAGTTAACACTCATATATTAGATATGATCAATATATCCCTATTAACAGGCTATGTACCACAGTCTTTTAAGGTAGCTGTAATTAAACCTCTCCTAAAAAAGCCCACCCTGGATCCAGAGGTGTTAGCCAACTATAGACCAATATCTAATCTTCCCTTTATGTCAAAGATCCTTGAGAAAGTAGTCGCAGACCAGCTGTGTGATTTTCTCCAGGATAATAATTTATTTGAGGAATTTCAGTCAGGATTTAGAGTGCATCATAGCACTGAGACAGCTCTAGTTAAAATTACAAATGACCTTCTGATTGCTTCAGACAAAGGACTCGTCTCTGTTCTTGTTTTATTAGATCTTAGTGCGGCGTTTGACACAATTGACCATCAAATTCTACTGCAGAGACTGGATCACTTAATTGGCCTAAAAGGTTCAGCACTAAGCTGGTTTAAATCTTATTTATCTGATCGTTTTCAATTTGTTGACGTTCGTAATGAATCATCCTTACGTACCAAAGTTTGTTTTGGAGTTCCGCAAGGTTCTGTGCTCGGACCAATCCTATTTACTCTATATATGCTTCCTTTAGGTAACATCATTAGAAATCACTCTATAAATTTCCATTGTTATGCGGATGATACACAGTTGTATTTATCGATGAAGCCAGAAGAAAGTAATCAATTAACTAAACTCCATAACTGCCTTAAAGACATAAAAAATTGGATGAGCACCAATTTCCTGATGTTAAATTCAGACAAAACTGAAGTTATTGTTCTTGGCCCCAAACAACTCAGAGACTCTTTATCTGATGACATAGTTTCTCTAGATGGCATTGCTCTGGCCTCTAGCACTACCGTAAGAAACCTCGGAGTAATATTTGATCAAGATTTGTCTTTTAATTCTCATTTAAAGCAAACCTCACGGACTGCATTTTTTCATCTGCGTAATATTGCGAAAATTAGGCCTATCCTGACCCGAAAAGATGCAGAAAAATTGGTCCACGCTTTTGTTACCTCAAGGCTGGATTACTGTAACTCTCTATTATCAGGTAGCTCTAGTAAGTCCTTAAAAACTCTCCAGCTAATTCAGAATGCAGCAGCACGTGTACTAACAGGAACTAAGAAACGAGATCATATTTCTCCTGTTTTAGCTTCTCTGCACTGGCTCCCTGTAAAATCCAGAATTGAATTTAAAATCCTACTGTTAACTTATAAAGCTCTAAATGGTCAAGCTCCGTCATATCTTAGAGAGCTCATAGTGCCATATTATCCCACCAGAACACTGCGCTCTGAGAACGCAGGGTTACTCGTGGTCCCTAAAGTCTCCAAAAGTAGATCAGGAGCCAGAGCCTTCAGCTATCAGGCTCCTCTCCTGTGGAATCATCTTCCTGTTACGGTCCGGGAGGCAGACACCGTCTCCACATTTAAGACTAGACTTAAGACTTTCCTCTTTGATAAAGCTTATAGTTAGGGCTGGCTCAGGCTTGCCCTGTACCAGCCCCTAGTTAGGCTGACTTAGGCCTAGTCTGCCGGAGGACCCCCTATAATACACCGGGCTCCCTCTCTCTCCCTCTCTCTCTCTCTCTCTCTCTCTCTCTCTCTCTCTCTCACTCTCATCCTATTACTGCATCTTGCTAACTCGGCCATTCTGGATGTCACTAACTCGGCTTCTTCTCCGGAGCCTTTGTGCTCCACTGTCTCTCAGATTAACTCATATCGCAGCGGTGCCTGGACAGCGTGACGTGTGTGGTTGTGCTGCTGCCGTGGTCCTGCCAGATGCCTCCTGCTGCTGCTGCCATCATTAGTCATTAGTCATACTTCTACTGTTATTATACACATATGACTATTGTCACACATGTATACTGCCAGATATTAATACATACTTTCAACATATTGTACCACAGTAGCCAGAACTATAACTATAATATTATTACTTTCAATAATGTTGTTGTAAGCTACTGTCATTACCTGCATCTCTCTCTCTCTCTCTCTCTCTCTCTCTCTCTCTCTCTCTCTCTCTGTCTCATTGTGTCATATGGATTACTGTTAATTTATTATGCTGATCTGTTCTGTACGACATCTATTGCACGTCTGTCCGTCCTGGAAGAGGGATCCCTCCTCAGTTGCTCTTCCTGAGGTTTCTACTTTTTTTTTTCCCCGTTAAAGGGGTTTTTTTTGGGGAGTTTTTCCTTATCCGCTGTGAGGGTCTTAAGGACAGAGGGATGTCGTATGCTGTAAAGCCCTGTGAGGCAAATTGTGATTTGTGATATTGGGCTTTATAAATAAAATTGAATTGAAAATTGAATTGAATAAACAGAGCTAGTAGACCCTCATGACTCAACATATAACCCTGGTGACTCTGTTATTACAGAGGAATCTGACCAAAAATGTATTCTTTTAGTTTAGTTTTACCCTCAGCAAAGGCTGTAAAAACAGACCCTGTATGCAGTAATTTGTAAAAAAAAAATATTTTTATTACCAACATAATAACATCAGATAAAAAATATAAAATAGTTGTGGCAACACTTGAAATATAAACAAGAAAGGTGGATTCATGGAAGCACTTAATTTAGAAACACAAGGGAATCAATATTTAAATTCAATAATTTTCTGCAGATAACGTGATGAGTCTTCACCCAGGACCTGGCATCCCAGTATCAGAGACCCTCAGAGGAGGAAGTGGTTGCCTTACCCGACTCTCACTTCAGCCAAGGGGCAGCTGGAGACCAAAGCAGTGACCAGCTGGATCAGGAAACTCCTGTTGGCATATCCAACCCAGTACGGGATGGACGCCTGAATGGAAAGAATTGGACACTATTAGTGTTGCAGATAAAACGCTGCTGTGTTTAAGTTTATACATCTATCTATTGTATATTATTTAGTCAGTTTTTTTTGTAGTTTTTCTTTTTTACATGTGCTAAAAGTTGATGTCATTTTTTTAAGTGGGTTTTTTGATATAATTAATCCTCAGTGTTCAGAATTGAGTTTACACATTACAATACATTCTCATTATATGTCACAAAAACGCACTCTTCTTCAGTTCTGTGCCGTTAGTCCATAGTCATACCTGTAAATGTTAGATGTTCTGTGGGGTGAACAAATACAGATCCAGGAAGTAACGTGTTTTACTCTGAAACTTTGATTTCATATAAATGTTGCAGAGAAACTGTGATACACTGGTACATTGCAAGCGGCAACCTCCGGGGATGACGAGTGAAGCCAATGCGGAAGTGCCAAAAACTGCAGTTCAATTTAATTTTTTTTATATCTCATCCATTTAAATGTTATTAAGGCTTAAAGTTGTGCATAATTAAGGGTGTGGCCACTTTGAGTGACAGATGGCACCATCACAGGTGGCTAACTAGCCGCTGGCTCCGCTATGCGGAGCCGAGCACAGACTCGGCTGTCTGCTCGGCGTCGTCTCAGCTAATTCGCGTCCATGTTCAAGTCTTTGAACCTGTCCTCTCAGCCGTGTTTGTGCCTTTTGGATATTTTTTTCAGGCAAATATTGGCGTAATATGGCTAGCTGTTCAATTAATTGTACCAACAGAATGTCCAAGAAGTCTGTGCTCCAGTTTTTTCGTTAAGTGAAATTCGGAAATTCTAGTATTATTTTATTTATGTTTATATGTTAGCACTAATTAGCGGGTATCGGTGTCTGCGGTCGCCACCTAGCTTGTCAGCTTGTTATCCTACTATTAAATGGAGAAACCTCTGTCCATCCGTCTGTCATCATCCGTTTTCTTCCTCACTGCTTTGACCTATTTCTCTGAACTTGCACATAGGCTTTCATCTTGGTCATGTGCAGACAGCCACAATGCCGTTTTTGCATTTTTCCCACATTTCTACTGTTAAGATTCACATTTTTCCACTACACATTCATATTGTGATGTGAGCACCATTAGCAGCGCATGCCCGGAGACCACAGTTTGGCTGGGAAGCCTTTATCTCCAACACTTGCGGATCGAAACCACTTGGAAAACACCTGCACTCGGACCACAGGTTATGGCTGGGACATGCAATTTCAAGCACCAACACTTGCTGAAGACTAAGGTAATTATTTCACTGAACGAACACGCGTCTGTGCCTGTGTCTGTTTGCACGAGCCAGCCGTTACATATTTTCACTTTACTGACATTAGCCTACAAACATTACAAACTAAACATTCACTCTCTATTGGATATCTTAAAGCTGATTATTGTTGCACCGTGTGTCCACCACGACAATGGATCTTAATTGACTTTACACTGGCATTGTTTCCGTGGTACCGGCACATAATTTTAACCCATTATGTGCTGCCACCACGGAATGTGGTGTTAAGAGGTCATGGTCATTTCACGTATTTCTGTGAGATCAGGTTGCTGTGGTCAGTTAGCCTTGTCGAGTCTCGCGCAAGTTGCCATGTGGCTTAAAAAACTACACTGGACTTCTTGTCGGCATGAGAGTGAGTAAGTAATGTTACTGTCTGTCTTTGCATGAGCAGCAGCCAGAGCCATGCAGCCTCTCGGTAAGCCGTCTGCCTCTAAAATGAACTGCGCCTGCGCATCTTAAACCAATAGTTTAACTGCATGTTATGAAATTATTAGTTTGCTGTTTGCTGAGGAAAAATTCTGTGCACTGTAACTGTTAGAAGACTTTCTTGCTGAGACAAAGTTCTGTGTTCTGAAGAAAGACATTCATTCCGCGCTCTGTCTTCTGAGAAGAAGGTCACGTTAGCCGGTACTGTCAGTAGTATTCACGATTCCCCCGCTTGGCTGCAGTTTATAGCATAAATACAGTAATAGCCTACATATTATATATAAATACATAAGATATATTCTCTTCTTCTTCTTCTTCGTCCTATTCTTCTTTTTCCGTTTGAGAACATTTTCGGGCCACCAAGTTGTGTAAGGGTGAGCTAACCAGCCTGCTAGGTAGCCTGTCAGATTTAGCAAACTGGTATCTTGTAAGCTAACGTTATCTTTCTGCTGCCATTATTCGATCTGTCTTCAAAGGTCTCGTTAGCCAGTACTGTCAGTAGTATTCATGATTCCCCCACGTGGCTGCAGTTTATAGCATAAATACAGTAATACATATTATATATAAATACATATGATATATATATTTCTTCTTTTTCTTAGTCCTATTCTTCTTTTTTCCGTTTGAGAACATTTTTGGACCACCACGTGGTGTGAGGGTGAGCTCTGTTAACCAGCCTACTAGGTAGCCAGTCAGATTCAGTCAGCAAACTATCTTTCTGCCCTTGTTGGCTGCCGTTTATATTCGCTCTCTGTCTTCTGAGAAGGTCGCGTTAGCTACTGTCAGTAGTATTCACGATTCCCCCACTTGGCTGCAGTTTAGAGCATAAATACAGTAATAATAAATTATTCATATCATATATATCTTCTTCTTCCTCTTCAGTAGCCTAGGTTTCCTACAGTCTAAAAAATGTTTCATTCCAAGTTTAGCACATGTGAAAATGTTTTTGATACAGTTTGTGAGTTTACTCAGCACATTAAGTTGCATAGTAATAGCGCTAATTACAGGTATCAGTGTGGTGTGCCTGATTGCCCAAGAATGTACTCTAAATGTACTGTTCTTAAGGCTCACATGTACAGAGACCACAAAGATGGACCTTTGAGGAGTGGTCAGCAGCAACCATCATGTGATACTCCTATGCAATGTGACTTTTGTGCTGTCAGGTGTGAAACATCATCTTTACTAGTTTGTCACTTGAGGTCACATTTGCGAGAAGGATTACAAGTTGAATGCCCATTTAGGGGATGTGATAGAAAGTT